TTAGATTAGATTTATAGTAGATATTATCATTTAAAAAAATGTGTGTGTGTGCAAGTCACACACGGTAGAAGTGAAATACGAGGACGTCTATCAACTGTGCAACATCTTGTCACCGCGATTCAGGAATTGTTGAATTTGATAACAAACTAAATAGGAATAAAATAAACATGGCGCGTAACGGAAGAAATTAAGATGGCGCGTAACCGAAAAACATTACATACGTTTTTTCCTCCTTACGTCGATATAAAGAAGTTTCACTTCAATAATTAAAATGATTATTTGACTTTTGTGGGATACTTAACAGTCGTAACAGGAAAACTGTAGTTAAAACGTCCGAAATAATATAATGACAATAAAAAACGCGATATTAAACCGTAAAAGTATTGTAAATTAAATCGTAATGTGTTTGTTCAGTAACATTGTTTTTTTACTAAAATATATTTTATTTTTTTTAGTATGGCAATCGTAATCTTTTGGCGCCATTACTGTCATACTAGTTTTTAAGTCTTCAATTATTATTGCAAAACGACTAAATACGTACTATGAAAAATTAATGAATAGAATATGAAATTACGTTGATTTATTGAATTTATAGTCAAATGAGCGTTAATAAATGTTTAAGTCTCAATAAACAAATAAATACATTTGCAGAATTCACGATGCCACATGTCATTGTGTTCCCGCCAAAACGTGTTTTTTGGGGTCGTAAACAAAGCTGTTTTTCCCGCATCTTCTGCGCGTGGGTGTATGTGGGAACACCCCGTGCTCGATAAATGACAACCAGAATCTAGAAACAAAATTCAAATAACAAAGAAACAGTGAATATTTTAGAAAAAACATAAATAAAAACAAATAAAACATGTAGTCGAATCATGTTGTATCAATGAATATTTTATTCGATACGAGTGGAACCTGGTTATTCACTGCAAAATGCACAAAAAAAAATCAATGAATTAAACTACTATTTCTTTAATGCTTAGATGGGTGGACGAGCTCACAGCACACCTGGTGTTAAGTGGTTACTGGAGTCCATAGACATCTACGACATAAATACGCCACCCATCTTGAGATATAAGTTCCAAGGTCTCAAGTATAGTTACAACGGCTGCCCCACCCTTCAAACCGAAACGCATTACTGCTTCACGGCAGAAATAGGCGGGGCGATGGTACCTACCCGTGCGGACTCACAAGAGGTCATATCCACGATGTGCTATCCAATATGAAATCATTAAATTGGTTTAACTCATCTCTCAAATCATATAGATAACGAAAGAACATAAAGATTACCTTTCGATATTTTTAATTAGTTATTTAAGAGAACATATATTATTATACCAGTTTCCGCGAAAACAATTCCTAATTTAATCTGTCTTTTTGATCTTGAACTAATCCATGTTGGTTTAATGTTATTAAATGGAAGCATCACGTAAAATAAATAGAGGCATTGACGTTAATGTCAATTTAAACATTGTGCAATGAACAGTACACGACGGTGACCATTAGAGGCGAAACGTACAAGAAAAATAGTCTTTTAAAATTATTTTGTATATATTTTTTGAAACTTCAATAATCGTTCAACCAATTCGTGCGTTCCTAGTTTGAATTGAAAAAAAAAAACCTTTTTAACGTTTGAAATTCCCGTAAATTCCTATTTCGAATTGAACTGTCCCTGTTGTTTGAATGTGTGTGTTTTTTTTTGTTTGGTTCGTGAACGTATTTTAACTATGGATTCTTTTTCCATGCTTCCTTCTAATATGGTAGGTAGAGGAGGTTGTATCTGAACAAAATAAAGTCTTGCTATTTTAAAGTTTTAGTGACAAAATATGCCTGGACGCAATACTGCTTTGTGAATGTGCACTTTAAATTTATAGATTTAGCGTTTAGTTTTCAACGAGGCTAATTCAAAGCTTTTTTTTGTTTTAATTTGCGAACATAGAAGTGAAGCTTAGACTATACTAACTATGGTATGGGACTTGTCGATAGTTCACGCTTTACTAAAACAAGCCGCCCATTTTGCCTTTGAATTAATGAATATTCAATATTAAAAATATATAAAATTTCACTTTTTCATCTATTTTCCAATCGATGTCTCAGATTTGCAAGTCCCGTTTAAAATTGATTACCCTTAAGGTTGTTCTGTTATATTAAAAATATAAATGTACTTACGAATAATGTGTTATTTTGTGAATAATAATGTAATATTAAATAATTTTAGTAAGCCCATGACTTCACCGAGCGAAGCGTTTAGATTGTAGACAATCACCAATTAGTTCGTGCATCGCTTGAAAAATACAATAGAAATAGACATTTTGAAATAAATCAAATTAATTAAAAACATTTATAAAACAATGAAAATAAACTTCAAAATCAGATACGAAATTCTTTATTATTTCTTTACTGAAAATTTCCGTTGATTGAAATATAGTTTTTTTTTTTTATATTTCTTGATATTTTTTTTAAGGTTTATTGACTATAGGCCTTTTAACTACCTATTTCACCTACTTTATTACAGGAGAAACGAAAAAATTTCACTTCAACACCAGAAATATATAAATGGAATTTAAGATGTTTAATTTGTTTTTAAATATTATCTTTACATAAAATTGATAAATTTTATAATGCAAATTCAAATCAGAAAAAAATTGTATTTTTTTAATCTCTGGCTTGTAGATAACCATATTAATGAATAGGTCTCGAAGTATTGTAATGAGTGTCTCAAGGTATGAGTAAGTACACACATTCATCGCGATGTGGATTTCATCATCGTCATCAAAACGGATTAAAAATAAAATCTTATATAATTAAATTATAATTAAATCTTTGCCATTTCTGGAATCAAGTCTCAACTTCCGAAGCGAAAAATCGGTTCTATTTGGTCCCTATTATCAAGTTAGGTATATAAATATTCATCATAGTTGCGGATCATTTTTCTATGATACATCAGAACCGAACATAATTTTTAATAATATGATAAGTCGACGCAAATTCCCTCCACCCGCGTTCTGGCATTAATCTCGAAAAATTTAGTAAAAAGACAACATGATTCTTCTTACTTTTGCCTTACACCATGTGTGGAGTCGGTGCAGCATGTCCTCGTATCATGCTACACAGGGATACGACAGGAGTTGCACGACCTGCCACCTCTCTCACATTAACCCTCCTTGGGTCATATCCCCATATATCCATGGCGACGTGTGTGTCATAGGAAGGGACTTTTCTATTTACCTACGACATTTACATTTCTATTCAATTATTTACGACTTTTATTGATTTATTACGAATTTTCTATCTATTAAAATGTTTCTTTTAATTAATCCGTCGTTGGTCCTATGATTTGTATTTTTTATTATTTAAAAATCATTAAACTAATAATTTAAATATTGTAAGATATAATATCGCACTTAAAAACAATATTAATTACTTATTTTTATATATTTATGTGTCGTGATTTTATTAATATACTTTTTTTTTTTTTATTTAACAACAAAGTATACCAACAACGTGTAAATAAGTTTTTTTTAAAGCACGTAGTTAATAGAAATATTTTCAAGTCAAATTTTATGTTTACCAAAGGTATATAATCTGAAAAAAGTTTTCACCCTATTTATAGTTCACACAAAAAGACAATATACATAGTTAGTGAATCAGTAGTGATTTTTTTGTTTTACACAAATAAATTAGAATCAAAAACATTACATATTTTTTACATCAATAATTTATATAATTATAAATTATATTTTTTAAAGTAGACGAAACTTATTCTAGACATGAATAGCATAATTGCAATGCATTAGTTTAGATCATGTTCAAAAAACCACATTATTAAATCTTGTAAAATTTTTAGTATTAACAATTCAGCTAACAGACAGCTGAAATACTGCAATACTTTTCTTTTTCAAATCACAGAACACCTAGATCACGTACGATAGTTTAGATCTAGATTTATACCGTACCCTAAAATTACTTTTCCCGCATGTAAATAGCCATAATAACACACAAAAATAAATTAAAGTACAAAAAGAAACATCAAAATACGAAACACCATTGCAATCGGAACAAATTTCAAACTAGGAAGTCCTAGTCTCGTCAGCTTTTGCGTGCTGATAACAGAAGCTTGTTTCTGTTATAGATACACGACAAAAAGTGTAATTATATTAAACGAATATAAATTTAAAACTGCCACAAATATTAATAGATATTTAATGGAAGAATAATTCGATTTTGAAACACAGCAATCGGAATAGGAATTTCAAACTAGGAATTCCTATTGAATAACGTATCATTTCTTAAATTTAGTCAAAGGTAAGGTTTATAAAAAAAGATACCACTAAGGAAGTACCACTTAGTCTTAATAAGATTTCATATCATTCACGTGTTGGTGTGTGTTGATATCAAAATTCAGCCTTTTCGCTTACACATCAAAACACAAATTCGCTTGAGTTTTGTGACGGTGCTAAATTAGCCGAAGAGCTGTGGTTGGAAAATGTGTATCGCAAACATCATACCAGCGGCCAAGTATATTATTTTCATGTTAAACTTAGGAAGGTTTATTGGTCTATTAAAAATATTATTATTTATCGATTTCTTACCATGATTTTTACATTGTACATAATGAGTTCCTAATTATGCACAATCACAATTATATGACAGTCGCAATGATGGCGATCTACTCGTAACAATAACTCATAAAAATAATACTGCTTATAATATTATGCCAGAGACGATCACTTTTCGGCAACAAAAGAAAGAAAAAGGAACAAAAACCTTTTTTTGTCTTCAATTAACGTTAATACACATTTTTTGGCCCGAAACTCAAGTAACGATATATCAAATGATCTCTTAATTTAGGTGAATAGCACTATCACGGCACAGTATTGTGTGATTCTAATACCTAATGGTATACGTAAGCAGAATTAGGCTTAACCGCGATCCGCGGGCAACGCTTTCGTTCGCAATGCCTCCGCCAAAACTCTTTTAAAGTGTACACAATTTGCTAACAGATGGCGTTCCTTCAGAATCGATCCATTTCGCTGGTGGACATGTACATTGACAATTCGGAGCCGTCAGAGAACGTCGGGCAGATCCACTTCTCGTTGGAGTACGACTTCCAAAACACTACCCTGATCTTGAAGATTATACAGGTATGTCCTAAGATATGTAGGTGACACACATGTTTCTTTTATTGCCCTTGTAGGCAGACGAGCATACGGCCCCCCTGATGGTGAGTGGTTACCGTCGCCCATGGACTTCAGCAATGCCAGGGGCAGAGCCAAGCCGCTGCCCACCGAAATTTATTTATTTAATTTATAATATTTTAATTACACTACACAACAATACATACATACATACTTTATTTTATATCAATAAATTCATTTATCACACAATCATACAAAACATTGTTGTTTACACAAACAACACAAAAAAACATGAATTTTGAGTCAATTTAAGTCGATTCGTGTTAGATCAGTGCTGAACTTTCGCAGAGCTTTCGCTCGAGCAAGGAAATCAATGTCGCCGCGTTAAGCCTTGTTCGGACTAGGCGAGTATTTTAGTCGATTACCGAGTAATTTAGTAGCTAAATGTGTCTGAACAGTAAAAATTTAGTCGATTAGGTTAGTAAATAATTTAGTCAAGTCAATCCATTTTGTTTTATTTTTTCGGGCGAGTTGCGCCTCCCACCACGCGTCCTTGCTCACTGGCTCACTGACTAAACAAGTCCGAACCTGTTGATTAGTCGAGTTCATTAGTGGCACTTCTCAAATGGGTATCTATGCGCTGAATTTGAGAGTGTATTTTCGTTAACAGAAAATTCACACAACTTTCGGACATTCTCAAACTATCGAAGTATTCTTTGGAATCTCTTCCAATGCTAATTCCTTCAGAAGACATTTAGTAGCTCCTAGTTTATCTCTTCTATCGATCCATTTTCGTACCCATAACTTATTTTTCTTAATCATAGAAATTTCCTCATCCATCTCTTCTAAAATAGCCATATTATTAAGCTAATAATCAGTTAATTCACTGAAGATCACTAATAGAAGAACTAAATAGAATCACTAATAGAAAAAAGAAGCTAATAATCAGTTAATTGCAGCCTGTTCATCTTGCAAAACACCACTCACTATTGTACTCTACTGGACCGTAATGCGAACGATTTCTGTAGTAAACGTAAACGCTGGTGACCGTGGGCGGCGGTGAATCACTTACCATCAGGTGACCCGTCTTGCTCGTTTGCCTCTTAGTTGTTATAAAAAAAAAAAGCTAGTAGTTTAGCCACAAAATTACTCGGTAATCGACTAAAATACTCGCCTAGTCCGAACAAGGCTTAACACTCTCCAAATCATTTAGTTATTAAGTACATCGTACACAAAAACATAGAATGTCGAATTCTCACAGCAAACACTCTTCCAAACGTGTTAAATGATAAACATAAAAAAGTGTATTGTTAATTTTTTGAGCACGCAAAACGAATAATAAACGGCGCCTCCGAAAAGTATCTGAGCTCTAAATGAATTATGATCATGTTTTGTGTTAATAATATTTGTATTGGTAACTGGAAGTGTGAAAGTAGCCCCGGTAATCGACAAATTAAAGAGCGGACGTTTAGCGTGGTATGCACATGTGATGCGTAGAGAGAAGGTGCATGTGACTAATAGATGTATGGAAATGGTAGTGCAAGATAGAGGGGGAAGAGGTCGAACGAAGAAGACATGGATGGAGTGTGTGAATGACGCTATGAGAGAGAGAGAGGAATGAGTGTTGAGATGACGGCTGATAGAAGAGAATGAAAGAGAAAAATTAGCTGTGCCGACCCCACCTAGTGGGATAAAGTGGAGAAAAAAGAAGAATGTTTGTATTGGTATTAACATCCTGTCTGATCCGGTCGAAGAATAGCCTCTAGTTCCTATTTCAGTTCCGGGTAAGATGATTCAACCGGGCTAAAAAAAATACCTACCTTATCTACATCGATCTAAAAAAAATAATTGTGCGTCTAGGGACGCCCGACAGAAGCGATAACTTACACTAATCTAAGTTGAACTAAATAGTTACCTAAACAATTTCAATATTAAATAATATTGAATATTAAATAATATTGAAATCATTTAGGTAACTTGAGAAAAGCTTAGGTTATTACCTAAATTTTATCTTTAAATTAATACGTGGAGCAAAAACTTTGTACCCCTTTTTACGAAAATTGCGCTTACGGAGGAGTATGAAATTTTCCACACTTATAGAGAATATAGAGATGGAGTGCACAATGCTAATATTTTTTTAAATTATGCATTAAAAATTACATTAAATCAATAAAAAAACTACCATGTACACACTACCATGTATTTGACACACACACGCATGCATGCTATTTGTTTATTGTCAAAGTTTTCTATATTTTTTTTTTTAAGAGATTTTATGACCTGGTAACTAAGACCTTTAAGTCATGTCTTATTTTACTTTATATTCTTAATTTTATGAAAAATGATAATATGGAGTGAAATGAAATGAAGATGATTAATTTGAAACATTAATCAACTGGCATGAAATTTAATGAAATGAGATGATATGGGATGAAATATAATCGCAGTAAAATGGTGGTCATTTACTGAGATTTTTTCAGTTGACTTTTTGGACGAACCCGAGAAGTTACGTCCAGCAGCTTTGTTTCATTTTCCCACATTTGTGCACTTTCACAGATATTAAACAGTTAATAAACCACCGTTATTACACATTTAAACCTGAAGAAACACTAAATAGACAAAATAAAACAAATCACACAACTTCACTCCTCGCGTTCCCGCCAAAAAGTCTCAAAGTTTTCTCATTTCAAATTGAGAATAGATTAAAATATTGTTTGTCTTCATTAATACATATTTGTCTAAAGTTTAGTCTTGGCGTAATCTGTGATTATAGAAGTAAATAGTCTTTAACAATAGAATCATAATAGTGTACAAACTTATAATTTCAATTAACTATAGTCGAATTTCGACTACCGGGGAATCCTTAGTCTATATTAATATGATAATGTAAAGAAAATTGTAATATAAATTGAAAAAGATATAAATATGTAGTTAGAAGCTACATATACGCTCTCAATACCGCTGCCGTATGCGTGAGAGAAAGGGACGGCAGACAGACTAGCAACGTAACGCGTTACGTTACGAAGTGATTTACCCTCCCATAAGAAATTATCACTTCAAAAACATTTCGTTTTAATTCTGGTACCTAGTCAGGCGTCAAGAATCTTTCCGATGTCAGTTGAATTGGAAAATGTTTTGCAAAATCATAAATAACATTTATTAAATATTCATGAGTTGCCTCTTATTCATTATGGAAGGGAGGGCTTGGAAGTTGTAAAGAAATTTTCATTTTGTCGGCACGTCGTGAGATTGGTAAAGTGACTTGTTTAATAATTATGTACATGAAAGTATTTTGAGATTTATATTTTATCAGCTGATATAATTAATGGACGTGGTTTTTTACTTTTGCCACTTTAATGCAATATGTGTTTGTTTCTGGTAAGCGTATTACGACAGAGAATCCAAGAGTACCATTATTACACCGGATTAGAAAATTTTAGACGGTTTTACGTTTAAATAAGTTGCGGGTAATCACGGTAATAGTTAATAACTTCTACCTGCGGCTTCATCCGTGTGAGAAGTGTCTCTTCCAAAATGTTTTTTTTTTCCAAATCCAATCAACGGATTATGTATTCTGCTAAATTAAAATCCAATTGAAATAGCATTAAAATTACACTACTATCTCGCGGGAAGGCATTATCCGGATTTTTTTTATTGCGATCTATGGTTAAATTTGTGCCATCTATTGCCGAAGTCCGGAACTAAAGTTTAGTTAAAATAAAATTAGTCAAACTGTTGTCCCAAGATAACACATTAACTGTACACGACCCGGTCTGTATGGCTGTTTCCGAGTCGTGTAATAATGGTTTCTGCTGTCTGTTTGTGCGCTGGTAGAAGACGGCTGTTTCTTTCGATGGGTTTCGGCTTCTGTAGCGAGGTTTCACAGGTAACTGTCTGGTTCACTGGTAGCTGATTCACTGGTGGTAACTGTACTATCGGAGAACTGCTGGTAACTGTTTCTGTCTTGCTGATGTTTCTGTGTCGGAGAGCTTCTGAGAACTGTTTCTGTCTTGATGATCTGCTGAGAACTGTTTGTTTCTTGATNCTCACGAACCACGGAGCCCCGACAGCTAACCTGCAAAAGCGGGATTGTAGGGATTGGAGGGTGTCTATGTGTGTGCGGGCCGCGTGAGCGAACACCACACTCGCGTAAGTCATGACGGGCCTTATGCAAGTTTTGTAAAGTGTCACCTTGTTCCGAAGGGACATTTTACTCCGCTTACAGATCATGGGGTACAGTCTACTGAGAATAAACGCGGCACGGTCACGGACTGATTTTATATGCGGGCGGAATGTCATCGATGCATCCAGGGTAACGCCCAAGTACTTGACCTTCCTGGCCCAGGGTATGGGTTGTCTAAAGAGAGTAATCGGGGGTGTGAGATTCCTCCTGCTAATCCGGGAGGAAATCCGTGTGGAGCTTCCCCTCTGAAATAGCACTGCAGTACTTTTCGCTGGGTTGATGTCTATGCGCCATTTTCGGAACCACTGTCCTAGGGCTAGGGCTGCGCTCTGAAGCTTCTTCGCGATTAGGGACTTTTTCTACTAGAATAGTAAACAGTCGTGTCTTCGGCGAATAAAGCTAAATGGGTCGGCGGCGACCGGGGAATATCGTTGACGAATAAGCTAAATAGGAGGGGTGAGAGGACAGAGCCTTGCGGGACTCCAGCTGTGAGAGGTCGTGGGGAGGAGCGGGTTCCCTCGACTCGATATCGAAAAGAGTTAATCTTGGCTATGTAGCCTAAGAGCAAAGATAAAATGGACGACGCTTGCAGCTGAAAGTAAGTATTGTACTTTTTGTCGAAGCATGTTGCTGATAATAACATGTACTTTTAGGTTAGGAATATGGTGTTCTTTTTTTTATAATAAATAAATTAAAAATAAATTAAAATAAAAGATAAAAAAACTCTTAAGACTGATTTTAGCAATTATTACAGGGTTTATTTTTGCTATGACTGAACGTAATATAATCTTTAAATTCAATTTTCACCAACTTCTACTTCTGTATAATTAATTTGAAATAGCGATAGATTGAAATATACATATACAAGCTGGCCCGGCAAACGTTGTTTTGCCATATAAATTATTTCTAGGAAAGATAAATAACCTAGATACCGACTGCAGCGCCATCTGCCGGGCTGATTTGTAAATCTAAACAATTCTCGAATCCACCTGAAGGCACACAGAAAATTTCATTAAAATCGATCCAGCCGTTTAGTTCAGTGACAAACACACGCACAGAAGAAATATACCAATATATTAATAGGTGAAGCAAAAACTTTGTACCCCTTTTTAAGAAAATTGCGCGGACGGGGGAATATGGAATTTCCCACGCTTATAGAGAATATAGAGAAGGAGTGCACAATACTAATATATTTTTTAAATAATGCATAAAAGATACATTAAATCAATAAAGAAAACATTACACACACTGCCATATATTTGACACACACACACATATGTATATTATATACCCTTTGTTTGTTGTCAAACTTAAGTTTGTCAAAAACTGTGGTCAAATTGAAAATAGGTTAATATTGTTTATCTTTAACATTATTTGCCTATAGGATAGTAGGTGAAATCTGTGATTACAGAAGTATTAATAATCTTTGACAATAGAACCTTAATAATGTTCAAACTTATAATTTCAATTAATTATAGTCGAGTTTCGACTGCCGGAGGACCACTAGTATATATAAAGATACCATGCTCATGCTAATCTGTAATCTTACGTCTGCGCCAGGGCAAGGAGCTACCAGCCAAGGATCTGAGCGGAACTTCGGATCCCTACGTCAGGGTCACCCTGCTTCCGGATAAGAAACACCGCTTGGAGACGAAGATAAAGAGACGCACTCTCAACCCGAGGTGGAATGAAACCTTTTATTTCGAAGGCTTCCCAATACAGAAGCTTCAGAGCCGGGTAAATTTGATAATCACAAATCAATCTTAATGTTTGATCATACCCGATCCTGTGGACCGGTGTGGTAAACAGTCGACGTCGCCCTAAACACGTCATTACGGATCCTCCCGATCCATTAACGGTGCTTTTAGGTAGCTCAAGTACCGATCACCGTCCTCGCCGGACCCGCCGCTTGCGACAATGGGCTCGACGAGTAAATTAACCCATAGACAAAGCCCACAGAGTTTCTCGTCGGATCATCTCAGTGGGTTGCGTTTCCGATCCAGTGGTAGATTCTGCGAAGCACTGCCCTTGCTAGGGCCAGCGTTAGCAACTGTGGACTAAACATAGATATATAAATATTCTATGTTGGCTAGCTGTTTCCATGCTGTAGTGTCTACAGGTTCTGGTAGCCAACAATCACCGTAACGAAGAAAGGAAACATGTAGATCAATGCTATTGATTTTAAGATTACAGCACGTGCTAATTTCCAGGTCCTGCATCTTCACGTGTTTGATTACGACCGCTTCTCGAGAGATGACTCCATTGGCGAGGTCTTCTTGCCGTTGTGCCAGGTAAATCCCTTGCCTTAAACGCCTTGATCGCCCTATTATTTTACTGGTGGTAGGACCTCTTGTGAGTCCGCACGGGTAGGTACCACTCCCCCCCCTATTTTTGCCGTGAAGCAGTAATGCATTTCGGTTTGAAGGGTGGGGCAGCCGTTATAACTATACTGAGACCTTAGAACTTATATCACAAGGTGGGTGGCGCATTTACGTTGTAGATGTCTATGGGCTCCAGTAACCACTTAACACCAGGTGGGCTGTGAGCTTGTGCACCCATCTAAGCAACATAAAAAACAAAATAATTGTCTTACGGTTAGAACTGATCACCGTACCACCGGATTGGAATGCGAAACTCAATTGGAGTTTTTCTCAAGTATATTTGGTGATAGGGATTCTATAGCATTTGTTCACGTCCTGATGAATCTACTCGATCCTGTCCTATCCTGTGCTTCTGATTCTAAAGGTAGCACCAGTCACAATAAAGGTCCCCATACTCATGCACTCGTAAAGCAGCTGCTCTTTAGCTGTTAGATTAGTTTCACATGCGGGAGTTGGAAGACCTTTGACCCACCAGCGATTCCTCCAGTCCAACTAACTAAGGCCTTGTCTTTTTAAACCTTACTTCGATTATATATTTGTAAAATGAATAGCGTTCGTGTGGCAACAGCCTTAGCGATGACAGTTGACAGCTGACATGTTGCCATTGTTGACACAACCCCGAGCGCTAGTGTACATAGCGACATAAAGGTCACGTGTGATCGGGCGGCATCGCATCCTCCATTGCGTGTTTGGTGGGGCAAGGCTCTGAAACTGTGATACTTTAAGACAAATATTTTTTTGTATGGAAACTAGCGACATCTTGTAGCGGATGCCCCTAAACTTATATTTTGTTAAAATGAAGGCATTTAATTATTGTATAACTAAACACACAAAATAAAAAATTAATAAATCATACAAGTCTTTATTTGCTATAGACAAACTGATTAGATTTTATGAGTTTGTAACTTCTGAAAATTTACAAAATCCTTCATTAAAAATAAAATATAGGATAGGTAATATGCTACTGCCATCTACAGGAGCAATGAGAAACTAATCGAAGCGAAGTCATCTAGTGGCCGACGCCCGTAAACATTTTTGTTGAGTGCTTGAGTTGCTTATCTATAACTAACTTATGTGTATTATCTATGCGATGGAATGTCAAAGATTACTAAATGAGCAACGTTAATTATAATTACTACTTTACTTTGAGTCTTAAAACAATTGATTGTACGATCGAGTTATTTTGTAATAAATTATCTTTGCTCGCGTACCCACTTTTTATTATAATAATAAATAGTGTAGGTTACGCCCGGCAGACAACAATGTCGGTCCTTCTAACCTCACATTCAATTTATCTCCAGCCCTTTTCGCCCTCGTTGGAAGCGAACAATCAAAACTTTGACCTATCCGCAACATAAATAAGATATTTCATATAAATATCAGAAACTCGAGAACACAATGGCGCGAATTTCGTTACCATAATAAGTTATTGATGTTTCAAGGAATCAGAAAACCCTCCTTCTTTATGCAGATTTAAGCAAATATAACATTAACATAATTCGTATTTGTGTCAATTGGTGAACAGAAATTGCTTTTTTCTTTTTTTTACTCGCTTTGTAGGCAGATGGGCATACGGCCCACCTGATGGTGAGTGGTTACCGTCGCCCATGGACTTCAGCAATGCCAGGGGCAGAGCCAAGCCGCTGCCTACCGCTTAATACTCTCCACTAGCCTCGATTGAAGAAGGACATGTCATAGCGCTCGGGAAACACCGTGGAGGGGAGCTCATTCCATAGTCGGATGGTACGTGGCAAAAAACTGGAAACGCACTGTGGATGACCGCAGTGGCTCCAGGTAGTATGGATGAACTCTACTCCGCTACAGGCGCCATTGAACCGATGTCGATTAAATAGAGTTCGTCTTTTGGTCTATTTTTGAATAGTACAGAAGATTTGGCGAACTCATGGCTCACTAGGCCTAAAATATTGTTACGCGCTGGGGTTCGGGATAAATAAAATTTCACCAAAGTACAATTTAAAACTGTATTCAACACTTAGAACACTTAAAACACTCAATAAAACTTTAAAACACTCAACAAAAACTTTAAAACTCTCAATTCGCTTGTTCCGCTTCGCTTCAGGTGATCCGTTCGCTGTTTCGCTTCGAGTAGTTCCGATTATTGACTAAATGCGTGCCATCTCTACAACGCTTTTATAGCCGATTCCTCATCCCTAGAATTGTCGAGAATATTCCACACATCTCTAGTAGTAGTTCCCGCTATCTGACAATAGATGGCGTTGTACTTCTCGAGCGTTCTAGGTCCTTCGATATTCGACTATTCAGCGATAGATGGCGCTACTCTTACCGGCGTAACATTATGGTATGCAACGACTATTTTACCCTACGAATCGGAATAAAAAATAGACTAATGGTATGCGATATGAAATATGATTAGTGATTGTTACCATAAGAAGATAATTCCGTAATTTTCCAGGTGGACTTAAGCGAAAAACCTTCGTTCTGGAAAGCTCTGAAGCCTCCAGCGAAGGACAAGTGCGGGGAGCTTCTCACTTCGCTTTGCTACCATCCGAGTAACAGCGTGCTGACCTTGACACTGCTGAAGGCCAGGAATTTGAAGGCGAAGGACATTAACGGGAAATCAGGTTGAGTACAAAATGAGTATTTTGGGGGGGGGGGGGGCGATAGCCCCTTAACTATTGCGATAAGCAATAACTGATAGAAAACGTCACATAACGAAAAACCGTTATGTCCTCATACAATTCTCTATGTATACTGAAGAAAAGTCGCTCATATATAGACATAATACTGGTGGTAGGACCTCTTTTGAGTCCGCACGGGTAGATACCACTGCCCTGTCTATTTCTGCCGTGAAGCAGTAATGCGTTTCGGTCTGAAAGGTAGGGCAGCCGTTGTAACTATACTGAGATCTTAGAACTTATATCCCAAGGTGGGTGGCGCATTTACGTTGTAGATGTCTATGGGCTCCAGTAACCACTTAACACCAAGCTGAGAGATCGTCCACCCATCTAAGCAATAAAAAAAAAAAACGTGTGGCACTCGGGAACTGTCGCGGTAAAGCTACTGCATAACATTTTTTATCAACTTATGCAATTATAATTAGACAATGATAATTTAACATTAAAACAATAATAAAACAAGAGCACGCTATATTAAACATTAATAAAAGCAAAACCTTAACTGTCCCCTTCACACTCATAAGCTAGACCGCGCGAGAGAGAGATGGACAGACATTTCATGATGCGCATGATGCGCAGTGTGACGTCACGCCACGCGCCTATTCACAAACACTACACAAGCGCAACGTGTGAATGTGTTGAACGCGAGCTACATGGTAGGCGGAGTGAGGGGTGTAAGGTTTTTTTCGTTACGGAATTTCATGATTCGATCGCCGCGCTCAAGGCCCACGATAAAAGCTATACAATAGCTTAAAAAATAATAATAATAATACACCCTGATTTCTGACACTGCCCACAGAGAACTATCCGTGTAATTCCGTTTCAACATTTATAATCGTTAAGCCACCCCATTTTTTACAGCATCATATAAATCAAGATTCAGAATCATCTCCGAGGATCCAATTAACCGTGTCTTGTAACGGTCTTTGTTGAGTTACGGCTGGTTCGTTCTTCGGGTAACACCAGAGAGATCGGGTGTCGGATTATGAATTGTATATTCCAAAACAAAAATAAATGAGGGTTGTGTTTTCTTTTTGCGTCATAATCCCGCATAATAAATTACTGAAATTTTCATTAGGGCAAGACGTTTCAGTTCTGTGGGGCTTTAAGATTTACAATGACTCCCCACGCCCTCCCACCACGTCTATTATCCGTGTACCGCCAAGCAAACATGCTATGCAAGTGCATTTTGAAATGCAAGTGATTTTTGAAAGAAAGAAGAGACCTTCAAAGTTGAAAGCCTTTTCTTTCTTTCAAAATTCTTTCATCTTCTTTTTGCTTTAATCTCTCAAAATGTTCATTCTTATTTTACTTTTCGATTAATCGGGAACTCGACATGATGTAGGTAATGTTCAGTAAGGTAAGGCACCTTCAATAAGCATGAGTGGAGAATAGAAGTGCCACTTTATTGTGCATAACAATACCGTCTAAATTTCTACGTTCAAGACAAAGTCAACCTGCATTTTTTATATTATTATATTTTTGCTTAGATGGGTCGACGAGCTCACAGCCCACCTAGTATTAAGTGGTTACTGGAGCCCATAGACATTTACAACGTAAATGCGACCACCCACCTTGAGATATGAGTTCTAATATCTCAATAATTACAACGGCTGCCCCACCCTTCAAACTGAAACGCATTACTGCTTCATGGCAGAAATACGCAGGTGGTGGTACCTACCCGTGCGGTCTCATAAGAGCTTCTACCACCAGTGAAGGTCCTACCACCAGGGCTTTTTAATATAGTTGAATCTTTTAACTCCTGTATCATACAGGTCGCATCGTTCCATTTGTAACGCAATATATATTTGTAAAGCTATTTAATTTATGGTGCAATAAAAATATTTTCCTCTTTGGAAAGTCAATATTCAATCGATATTCTTCGAAACGATATCATAGGATGGTGGCAATATTAATGTCGCTCGCTCTTTAAGCTCAGTTGAGGGAGCCAATTAAACAATTTTAAAATAGGAGAGCAAAGACGAAATCGCGTATTGTTTTTTTTTTTTTTGTAGCGATTGGAAATCTATCTTGAAATCATTATGCCGCACCCTTTCTGAGCATAACTAGAATAGCTCCTAAGGCTACCAACTATTAGAAGATAGAAAAAAACTTTTTTTTTCCTTCTATCTATGCTGATTATATAGCTTTGAGAGGCTATTTCAGCTTCGCCCTAACTTGTAGTTGAACTCATGGGGCTCAAGCCGGAGTGTTGCTAACACTGGCCCTAGCAAGAGCCGTGCTTCGCAGAATCTACCACTGGATCGGAAACGCTACCCACTGAGAAGATCCGGCGAGAAACTCAGTGGGCTGCATCCGTGGGTTAATTTACTCGCCAAACCCTTGAGCGACTCGAGCGACGGGCTCGACCAGGAAGAAAAAATCGTTTCACAAGCAATGATATTGACACATACCAAATATTCTTTTTCAAATATTCTAATATCGAATTGATTTTCCTCGCGAGATCAACCCTAAAATATATATTTCCGTTTTTATTATCGTTTTACGAGTATCATTTACGTTCTGTTGAGTTTCAAATCGGCAACAATGTTATATCAGTTTTTACTTCAATTAACGTGAACTGGCAATTACCCTTTTTATATACGAGATAGAGTAGACAGAAGAAAAGCATCTTAGCTTTTTACAAAGAATGTTGACCATTGTAATTATAGCAATTCGTGCGTACGCTAATTAAGTATTATTTTATTTTAATGATTTCAGTGTAACAACGAACTCTGCATTTGAATTAATTGATTGATTTAAGACAAATGTGAGATTCGGACTAAATGAAATCACGAACTATGATGAATAAAGATTTATTATTAGGTGGTTGCCCTTCGTTTTTTCCCGTACCTATTTGTGCGTCAAGCCTCAGTTCGCGAACTCTGGAGAACTGCTGGCAATGTTTCCACATGACAAGGACTGCTCTGCCAAGAATAACCGACTATGATGATGATTCGCTGGTATCCAGCTTCTCGCGGTCAGGTAGATGAATTCACGGACCCAACTAGAGAGAATTTTGCTTACCCTAGCCCTAGCAAGAGCAGTGCTTCGCAGAATCTACCACCGGATCAGAATGGCGACCCATTGAGACGATCCGCCAAAAAACTAACTGGGTATTCCGTTAGTACACAACACGTCTGTTTTCGTCCCAAATACAAGTCACTATGTCGATTATCTTTTTAATCAATATGATGAATAATTCGCGGTCAAAATTTATTTTGAATTCCCATAACCCATAACTAACATTTCGCCCCCCAGATCCCTACGTCAAAGTCTGGCTGCAGTTTGGCGACAAGCGCATCGAAAAACGCAAGACGGCCGTCTTCAAGTGCACCCTCAATCCGGTCTTCAACGACTCATTCTCGTTCAACGTTCCCTGGGAGAAGATCAGGGAATGTTCGCTGGACGTCCAAGTTATGGACTTCGACAACATCGGCCGCAACGAGCTTATCGGGCGGATATTGCTGGCAGGTTTGTTGATTTTGAATGACTATGATACTCGTAAACGACTTAAAATCGGCAAAACTAAAAACAATGGTTTGATTGAGATGAAGAGGCTAAGAGACGTGGTTTAAATGAGCTGGTTATTAGCCAATAACATTCTCATCTAGTGTTTAGTGGGATACAGGCAAGCTTAAAACTACATAGACCGATTCACCTACCTACCTTCCAACCCGCCTACCTTCAAGGAACAGTCATTGTACAAACATAGATGATATCCTCCATCATAGGGGAAGTAGCCTCTGGCTTTGCCAGATGCCTCCACTGTGATGATGCTGATGAGATGTGCTGTGCCCATATCCATTAGCGGCAATGCTCACTGCACCACCGGATATACATACTATTTATAACCAACTGGTTTTACTGGTGGTAGGACCTCTTGTGAGTCCGCACGGGTAAGTACCGTCACCCTGCCTATTTCTGCCGTGAAGCAGTAATGTGTTTCAGTTTGAAGGGTAGGGCAGCCGTTGTAATTACTGAGGTCTTAGAACTCATATCTCAAGGTGGGTGGCGTTTACGTTGTAGATGTCCATGGGCTCCGGTAACTATTTAGCACCAGACGGGCTGTGAGATCGTCCACCCAATTAGGCAATAAAAAAATTTTACGAGATCCCTCAGAAGGGAACGTCGGATTGGCCTCTTGCATCGCTGACGGTATGCTGATGCGTCGTTCGATCGACGTCAGCATCACCGACAGTAATGGTTATCGGTTACAGGCAAGAACGGCTCGGGCGCGACAGAGACGAAGCACTGGCAGGACATGATAACGAAACCAAGACAGACGATTGTGCAATGGCATCGCCTCAAGCCCGAATAAACCACGAAGCGACCCCCAACTTGCTACACGTCATAAGACTGAACGGTTAAATGTTAAAAAAAAGCGAATAACCAAAAAACAAATAAAAATTAAAAAAAAAACGAAAAATATCTCTTTCGGATCTGTCTTTCGCGGCGTGTACAAATTTTGTTTCTTTTTTGTGAGATATATACTTAAATTAATTTTATTTGAATTAGAAAAAAAAGTTACATATATTTTTTTTTTTTATTCATATAAATAAATGTAAATTAAAAAAATTGCTTTAATATTTATGTACTGTGTTGAGTTACTGCATTCAGTTTGGAACGCGCACGCCATTATCTCGAACTTGACTGTTCTCTGATATCTCGAACGTTACTGCTTCTAAGCTATTAAACGTAATCTTGGAAACTAAAAACTTGAACATAAAAAAAAAAAAACGTAACAATTGTGAAAAATTTCATTGCCTTCTTCAAAACATGTGATAGAATCAACCCAATTTTTTTTTCATTCCTAAATATATATTTTTTCATTTAAACGCATAAAGTGTTCGAATTTTGAAATACATTTATTTAAAAAAAATGCGTGATGAAATTTTTCATATATTGTTCCAAAATCTTTATGCAAATGTTAACGTTGTTTATATATTATGATAATATGTAAAAGTTGAATCGACGTTGGGAAGTTTTGAACGAAACATTGTTAGTTAATTAAATAATTAAATAATAAATATATCTTAATAATATCGTTAAACGTAGTGAATATTAACAAAAGTCGAGTTCGTATCGCACAAAAGTTGTAGATTTTCATTTATTTAAAAACTCTAATTGGACTAAACAAATTCACAGTGCAGTGCAGTGCCGGATTAAACATGTAGCAAGAGTAGCAATTGCTACGGGCCCCGCGCGAACGGGGGCCCCGTATATTTAAACCCACTCATCTCTGCCCGAGCTTAATTTTTTGAGTGACTTATTAAGAAAAAGTTGTTTGTATAAACGTGTAGAATTTCAATCAGCCTGATAATCAGCTCTACAAAAAGTCTGACGTATGCAAGTACTCTTACCCGACACAGTGTGGAAGTGTAGCATAATTGAGATGGCTCGATTTAAGTTGTTAAAATTATATATTTATTTGTAAGATTAACAGTCTACATTATTATTAGTATAATTTAGTAACCTGCTACGGGCCCCGCGCTTGCTCAATCCGGCACTGCATTGCTGTGCATATTTATTTTCATTACGAAATTCTAGCGATTCGGAGCACTATCGAAATTTTAAAGAGATCAAACTGCCAAATGATAAACTAATTTACATTATCACAGCACAACAAAAATCTGTGTCAAAAACAATCTTTGTTTAAAAACACTTATTGCTTATAATATGTATTGAAAAATTCTAAATTTTAATGTTAAGATTGAAAAAAAAGGACGGTCAATTTTAGGCGCGGTTTTGTAAAAAGAAATGTAATTTGTGGAAGAAATGAAAAAGAAAAAAAATTACGTAACTTTAACAATAATTTTGAGTCGGAATTCGTTTGGAAATTGTTTTTTTTTTAATCCGACGTTAATTAACCTAAGTTGTATGCGATGACCATTTGTTAAAGGATTGTTACAAAACATATTATGGATACATTTTAATATAACATAGTATTTATTATGCTTGTTGTTGAATGTTAAAAAATATTGCTTATTGAAAAAGAAAAAAAAACGTAGAATCGATGTTTTTTTTTTGAAAACGAACCTTAAAAAAAAATCTTATTGTATACATTTATAAAGATATTTATAGACAATTAGTAATACAATATTTATATATATTTTAATAGCAAATCTTACAGTAGCGTTGTTAGAATAGAATGTTCAGAATTAAATTTAATAAGTAGTTGCAGAAAATATAATATATAAATATTGAATATGATGATAATATATTGAAATCAACGATAGTGGGTATTTTTAAAACTTTATTTTTTACTGTATTTTTCTATTGTTCGTATGTATTCTTTTTTTAATAATTATTCTGATTCATTTACCTTTTCGAAATGGAATATTAAATAAATGAATTTAACTTTTAAATCAATTGAAAAGGGTTCTATTGTTACGATTATTGCATCAATAACTTGAAAAGTTAAAAGAAAAAAGAAGATTCTAGAAATCGTCTCTCATATTGCCAAAGTCATTCAGTACTTCCACCAATGTAGTCGAAGATCCACTATTTCAACTATCACATTTTTTCCCCTACCATTATTCGCTGGTAATCTAAATGCGGTCATCCACAGTGCGTTTCCAGAGGTATTTTTGCCATCTACCATCCGGCTATGGAATGAGTTCTCCTCTACGGTGTTTTTCAAGGGCTATGACATGTTTTTTTTTCAAACCTTTATGCCACCTTTATGCCTGAACTTGAATTAATTATAAACACATACACCAATCATTGAAGATCAAATTTTCAGTCAGTTTATAGGCAGACCGATTAAACATAGTAGAAGCTGTTAAAACATTAATTAAAACAAACAAGTGTTCTTTAGTAACCTAACTTTCCGTCACATCGACTGAATTGCGTAAAGAGGCACTCTTCAAGATCATCGTCCAACAAGTTGATCAGGTCGGCCAATGATTCCCACATTCAAACTCGCAGTGATACCTGATGACGGATATCGCATTTGATTGAATTAATTCGTTCGAAATACCTGTCTTTATGATCTGGCAATACTTACTTCTAAAACCTAATAAAAAATTAAATTCCAAAAAAAAAACAAAGATTACGTTTAAAATAATTGTTTATTCATTTGCAAACATGCATACAATGATTTGGTTAATATTTTTTTTTTATATCTATAGATCATCTCAATATTGCCGACCATTATAAAAAAAACTCACTAATGTCATTATGACACATGTCAAACTTGCAAAAACCTTAGTGAGGATAAATGTTATTGGGATTAGAAATACGAATGTTAAAAACTTTAATCGTCAGTGTAGTTCAACAAAAAACGATATCACTTACTCGTCGATGCAAATTGGAAATTTTTTAAAGTAGAACTTTTATGGAAATTCGAGTATAGCCGTAGGTACTCGTCGAACTCGGCAAAGAGTTCGACGTGCAGCCTAACCTACACTAACCCGCTGAGTTTTTCACCGGATCTTCTCAGCGGGTCGCGATTCCGATCCGGTAATAGATTCATTTGCGAAGCAGGTGCTTTTGAATTGTTTGTTCGAAGCGCTCGAGGCTGATAGCAAATCCCACCCCTCCTGGCTGAGCCGTGCTCGCGCACCTGTCATGGTGGCACTGAAAAGGCCTCTGGGCTACCAGTAATCCTTCAATCATAAAATAAATACGAAAATCAAATGACCCAATCCATCCGTTGAGCGGAACTTTTATAAAATTATACTTGCGTTTTGAATTGCTTTCTGTGACGCCATATTAACATCTCAAACTCTTTTTGTATATTTTGCTTTGATGAACCAAGCCTTTTACGGATTTAACCTTTATTAAAAAGCACACTGTGTTTGAATAGTGAGGTTTATAATATTTAAAATTAGGACAGCGTAATCGTAGTGATGTGCTGATAAGAAGAAGAAGAAGAATCGTAGCGAGCAGTGTAATTTAAAAGATAATTTGAGAGAGAGAGAGAAAGAGATAGAACATATTTTATTGCACACCAAAACATAATTAACATTAGAAAACAGTCAACAAGCAGACGTTTGTAGAATAGGCGGTCTTATCGCTAAAAGCGATTTCTTCCAGACAACCGTTTAATTACCCGAAATTCTGGACAGATGTATACTATTAATAATACATTATTAAAGAAAATACATACATAGAATAAATAGCGGTTTTAGCGGTAGGCAGTGGCTTGGCTCTGCCCCTGGCATTGCTGAAGTCCATGGGCGACGGTAACCACTCACCATCAGGTGGGCCGTATGCTCGTTTGCCTACAACGGCAATAAAAAAAAAAGATAAATTAAAATCGAAATGTAACTTACTACTCTCAGCAGGACTATCTCAACTCCTCCCCCATATAAGACAGTTCATCTCCAGTCTACCCCCATACTCCTTTCAATTACCCCTCTACCAATTCTGACATTTCGTACAATTGACGTTGACATTTTAATGTTAGAGTCACTACGACCTGTGTGCTTAGTGCGAGCTTTTTAACGTTCTCGATAGCGTAAAAGTTAACTCATATTTGTATGGAATGGGATCGTTTGGGTACGTTTGCCGCTAGGGGCATACAAAATTGTCTTTACTTTTACGCTATCGTGAACGTTAAGAAACTCGCACTAAGCACACTGGACTCTCAATACCAGTGAACGAACTCATGTTTCGTATTGCTCTAGTGAACGTTTAATCTTGTTGAATTCAGGTTGGTCATTGGAATTTTAAGTCGCTCGGCCACTCAGGTATCCGACACACGTTATTTTAGCGTGAATAATTTCGAAACTTGTCTTGTTTTAATGTAATGCCTCTGTGTGTGTGTGTGTGGTTTTTTTTTATTGCCCTTGTAGGCAGACGAGCATACGGCCCACCTGATGGTGAGTGGTTACTGTCGCCCATGGACTTCAGCAATGCCAGGGGCAGAGCCAAGCCGCTGCCTACCGTTTAATACTTACTTACTATGTGTGACGATGACTAGCGAATCTGTGGAGGAAAACCAGTCGGTCCGTGATTTCAACTGTTCAAAATCGAACACGCCTTATCGTGATAACCTTATAAACCGCAATCGCGTAGACTATACAATTAATTTTGATAATTCTCAACATTTTTGTTCAGAGACTAACCGGAGAAAGTTTCATTAAATTAATACCGTCTCAAAATCTAAATGTTAAATACTCTGTAGTAATACTGAATTAATTGATTAATCAGTTAATAAGGCCGTCATCTTGAACTGTTTAGCACTGTTGTTTTGATTTCGAAGTGAAACTTCTTTAGGCGTGTTGAGAGTAAAATTTGACTCGCGACAGATTCGTTACGGCTAGAGAGAAAATATACAATTTAGAAGGAGCGAGAGTGAGAAAATAGACAGTGTCTCGCGAACCACTTGACAGTGGAGAGAGGAAGAAACAAAGCTAGGTGGTTTCTCTTATACAGATTCTGTTTACGGGCGTCGGCCACTAGATGGCTTCGCTTCGATTAATTTCTCATTGCTCCTGTAGATGGCAGTAACATATTAACTATCTTATATTTTATTTTTAATAAAGGATTTAACATTTTTATTTTTATTTTTCTGTATATAATTTGAAATATATTTAAATGGTGAAGAGATCGTATCTCTTATACGCAGCGTTCCCTATTATAAAAGTAATTTGATTTAAGGATAAAAAATGTAGAAAACCACAATGCAAAAGAAGTTCCACTTCTTTCACGTGCGTCATTATTTTTTGTATATTTCACAGAATATCAGTTACTTATTGGCTTAGGCCTCTTCTAACATATTCTATTGTCCTAACATATTCTTCCTCACCCTCGCCCTCTGAATGATACAAACAAGTTTTTTTTAATATCTTATACTGTATGTTTCACTTGATAATCGAAATGTGGCGATATTTTTTTCTAATTATTTCTATCTTTATCCTCTCACTAACGCTTTCGTGACGTTTCCGCATAGAAGTGTATGTCTGTTTGTAACGTGCAGCTTAGAACTGTAAATACTTAGATATTTAATTCGGCGGAATATGTCGGTACATTGTCAGTATCAACGTTAGTGTAATGTGAGAGATGTCTTACTGAACACTCCCATACTGATGACGGAATTTTCTTGACTGAAAAGTCTCATTGGATCTATTTGCTGGTTACTAATTTATTACACTTTATATATCTCTATATATAGGCGGACTTATAATAATAAACTAATATATTATTTACTAGTAACCATAAGGTAACGAAGAGAGAATAAATAATGTTAGGTGCAATAAAACATAAATTTAACACTCAAACTCATGCAAATATATAAATATTCCACATATATTCCAATAAAGACAATATGTACAGGAATATACACAGCTATACATACAAATTACATATTAGTTTAAATATATAGATTTACTAATTATATAAATGGAATAACATGAAATTATACAACAATTCATGATGATTCCAGCTTTGGCCGAACCCTTAATTTTATAAAAGTAAATTCTGTTTAATATTAACATTACATAAATTAAGTTTTGGAACATCATATTTACCTTTAACCCTTCGGTGGCCACTGCTGGGCATAGCTTACTGGTGGCAGGACCTCTTGTGCCTATTTTTGCCGTGAATCAGTAATGCGTTTCGGTTTGAAGGGTAGGGCAGCCGTTGTAACTATACTTGAGACCTTAGAACTTATATCTTAAGGTGGGTGGCGCATTTACGTTGTAGATGTCTATGGGCTCCAGTAACCACTTAACACTAGGTGGACCGTGAGTTCGTCCACCCATCTAAGCAAAAAATGAAAAAGCTCCTCTTTTTTATGCCCTAATCCTTATTAGCCCGTCATTCTCATCCATGTCCGCCCTGCCCTTCCCTACCGTGGCACCAATCCACCGTGCCATAGGTCTTCCGTGACCTCAATGACCCAATCTCAGCCAAGCTTTACTTTTGACTTTCCAGCGCTGCCAATAAGCGCATCTGTAAGACGTTTCTCACATTACAACGAACACTTAACTTCTAGAAGATTTAAATCGCTTTCATTCTAATAAAAAAAAGCATATCTAATATAAGTAGACGTGTTTTAAAGTATATGTAATTATAAATGAGAGGTCAAAAAGAGAGGAAATTAGTCGTTAATTGTATTATATATAATGTAATGGAAATTAAGCTTTCAAATGTGTCATAGAATTCGACTTACGTATATTTTGGCAAAACAAATGAATTTCTTTAATACCTTCCTCAGGAACTACCTCTGTTTTTTTTTTTGTCTATTTATAAATTTCCATATAATTTACCGCTGTGATTTAGAATCTAACATATCAGGCCAAACTTTATTTAAAACGCCTTCAAAGAATATATTTTCGTGAATTAAAGTAAATATTTAAAGTTAATGTTATAAAGCTATTCTCGCTAAATACATCAATATTTTATTTTTTTATTGTATAAAACTATTTTTCCATTTCTATTCTATAATATATAATTATGTGTATGTATTATAAATTATAATTAATACTATTCTAATGTATATTAATGTAATATCTATTTTTGTGTGAATTTAATTAGTCGTGCATGTTTACGAGCTTCGTAAACTTTCGATTAAGCTTGCATAATAATTCCACAATGATTTTGACTATCTGAATTTCTTTGTATTATTTAAAAAAACCTAACCAGGCTTCTTGAAATAGTTCGGAAAAACGTAAAATGCGAAAAAATTCATGAAAATCTTAAGGAGAAACTTTTTTTTAAAATAAATGTGTAAAAATATTTACTGCTTCTTAAGAACAACTTCTTGTGACATTCATGCTATTTAAAAAAATATCTTGTGTCGATTAAAATGCTTAAGAAATTCTGACAGATCTGACACATGTCAAAAGTCTTGTAAGATATGTGATGAGGACATTGTCTCGTCTCCGTGTGTTTTTCCAGGCAAATCTGGACATCAGCTGGTACGTCTAAAGAGTTAACATTAAATCCCAAACTTAACCACCAGTTAAGTATTCTTGTAAAGAGCATTTTGGACACTATCCAACGGGTTCTTACCACGATTATCGCATTTCACGGGCTCTTGATGTTCTGGTGTGTTGCAAGCGCGATGGTTGAGGGTAGACTGAAGACTGCGGGATGTTAGGAGCTGACTCATCTGGTCTTTTCCACTTATGCTGGTTACCTAGGGGCTATGCCAGCTTAGGCTAGCTAGCGAGCGAGCTTAGCTTACTTACCAGGCGAGTATCTGGATTAATTTGTCTAGCATCTTAATAGTTCGTTTTTGGATATGTTACCACTGGAATTCGATGGCTCGCCACGACTACTCGCTGTAGTCCCAACTATAAGTTATTATTAAACGGCCGTCTGGTGTAGTGGTAAGTGACATGGTCACTACACAAGCGGGTCGCGGGTTCGAATCCCGCCAAGGGAAGATATTTGTATGATAAATATAAATGTCGTTTCCAGGGTTATGGATGTATATTAAATATATGTATGTGTATAATAAAAATCTTACATTTATATCCGTTATCTGGTACCTGTAACACAAGTTCTTTATACGAACTTATCACGGGACCAGTTAACGTGGCGTGATTGTTAGTAAAATATTTATATATTTATTTACTTATATTGTTCCCAGATAGTTCTGAAATTTTCCCAACGCGCGAAATGCGATAATTGTAATGAGAATCCATTAAAAAGTATAACATAACGCAGATAGACGCCAAACTTAAAAACAATTCCTACAAGTTTGCTACGTGTACTAAGTTCTGTTTTTCTTTTTGGCACTATTAAGCGATAATAAAGTTAGTTTGAATTAGGAAAATTGTGATTCATCAAAACACTTGTATGTTGCATATAAGAAAATGTTCGTTTGACATTTAAATGAAAATTTTAAATAATAAAGACGCAATGTTTAGAATAGACGTCGTATACATTAATTATATAGTCTATCATTGAATATGTCACTTTAATTTTCAGCTTATAAAATTAGTTTTGTGTTTATAACTAGTAAGTGTTTGAATAGAATTATTTAGTGTATATGAAATACTAATTAAAATTCGTAAGATGAAACATGTTGAAATTAAATATTATGTTGTAATGTGTATTTATGAGATTACTCCCAAATAAAACATATTGAGTTATCGAAATGTTGTGCTTTTTCTATCTTTATATTCGATACTAGCGACCCGCCCTCGCTTCGCTTCGGAAACATTAAAACAAACATGAAAAAAGAAAAAGAAAAAAAAAGTAGCCTATGTTCATCAGGGACAATGTCGGCTTCTAATGGAAAAAGAATTTTTCAAATCGGTCCAGTAGTTTCGGAGCCTATTCGAAACAAACAAACAAACAAATCTTTCCTCTACTATTCGAATCCCACGGGCAGATACCGATTTTTCTAATAAAATTCGTACCTAACTCATGTTCACAGATGGCATCCACGTTGAAGGAAAATCGTATGATCCAAAGTTTTTTATTTATTGCTTAGATAGGTGGACGAGCTCACAGCCCACCTGGTCTTAAGTGGTTACTGGAGCTCATAGACATCAACATCGGAAATGCGCCACCCCCGTTGAGATATAAGTTCTAACATCTCAAGTATAGTCACGACGGCTGCCCCACCCTTCCAACCGAAACGCATTACTGCTTCACGGCTGAAATAGGCAGGGCGGTGGTACCCACCCGCGCGGACTCACAAGAGGTCCTATCACCAGTAATTTATCAATAGAAGTTTATTTACGTAATTACCATACCACCATCCTACGTCTAGTACCGTGTGGGAGCAGGACTTAGCCTTCTGGTCAATTGGATCCTGTGTCCAATGAATACCAGGTGAGCTCGTGTTTTCATCATAATGGAAGTAAAAAACCAATCAGTAATATGCTTCGTTTGTCAAAGTTTGACGAGAGTTTTGGACGGGTTCGACGAGAACGGTGACCGGTGCTTGAAATGCTTAAAGGTAGCACTGGGGTAAGGACAAGGTGTCCAGTGGATTCGTATCTAGTGATGCAACGGTGTCCCACAGGCGAATACCAATTTTTCTAATGAAATACAACAAATTTTCACGATTGACTTCCACGGTGAAGGATTAACATCATGTATTAAAAATCAAACCCGCCAAATTAGCGGTCTAGCGGTAGGCAGCGGCTTGGCTCTGCCCCTGGCATTGCTGAAGTCCATGGGCGACGGTAACCACTCACCATCAGGTAGGCCTGTGTTCGTCTGCCTACAAGGGCAATAAAAAAAATTAAAAAGTATATAATTTTCGTAATTACTGGTAGTAGGACATCTTGTGAGTCCGCACGGGTAGGTACCATCGCCGTTCGGTAAGGTTCGTAGGTAGCATCGTTTCAGTTTGAAGGGTGGGGCAGTCGTTGTACCGTTAAATGTGAGAACTTAGAACTCATGTCTCAAGGGGAGTGGCGGCATTTGCGTTGTATATGTCTATGGGCTCCTGTTACAGCTTAACACCAGGTGGGCCGTATGCTACTCCACCCATATAAGCTGTAATAAAACAAAAACTAGTGGATCGAGGGGATCCGAAATTAAGTGTTTTGGGTGGTCACTGTTAATTGTTCGGTCCGCAGTGTCGGCTGTGTAGTTACCGGAACGAAGGTTGACTTCGTCTCTGTCTTGAACGTAGAAAGTTAGACGTTGTGTTTAACTCAAAAAAGTTGCACTTCTGTTCTCCACTCATGTTTATTGAAGGTGCCTTACTGAACATTACCTACATCATGTCGAGTTCGGGATTGATCGTAAAGAAAAACAAGAATGAAAAATTTTACATATTTTTTTTATTGAATATCTTTTTTTGTTCTAATATATATATACATTAACGTATTATTTATCACAAAAAAATATTAAATTATTCATATAAAAATCTGATAAAATTCTAAAAAAAATCGTTTGAGTCTATTCTTTTTTTTTTTTTGAAACTGCGATTCGATTGCCATGACGGCAACTAACGGTCGCTTTTCGAATAAAGAACAGGAAACAGGAAATAGCTTTCGGACCCGGCCACTGTGACCGGTGATTATAAAACAATTTTTTTTTAAAGTCAATTGACTTTCTAATTTGGTTAGGTTTGAGACCAATTTTTTCAAAATCCCACTTTACAGATATTTCCATTCGTAAAATTCCGAGCAACGAATTTATGGCAAGGAGACCTATGGCATAAAGTTTTTCTTATGAAATCTTAAATTTTGTGTAATTTTGTGTAATCCAAACGTTACAGAAAAAAAATTATAAATCAGTGCTCTAGAATATTCGAACGAAAAAAAAAAAAAACGCGCGAAATTTTGATTTCGTTAATGTCNCAATTTTTTTTAAAGTCAATTGACTTTCTAATTTGGTTAGGTTTGAGACCAATTTTTTTAAAACCCACTTTACAGATATTTCCATTCGTAAAATTCCGAGCAACGAATTTATGGCAAGGAGACCTATGGCATAAAGTTTTTCTTATGAAATCTTAAATTTTGTGTAATTTTGTGTAATCCAAACGTTACAGAAAAAAAAATTGTAAACCAGTGCTCTAGAATATTCGAACGAAAAAAAAAAAACGCGCGAATTTTTGATTTCGTTAATGTCATGGCGCGTTGTGGGTTATGTATGGACTTTGTAGTTTTACTTTTTAAGCTTTAGGCTTCTCCTCCGCTTTCTTGTCTTCTGGGGGAGGGGTGGGGAGCTCAGGGTACTCCAGCTTGGCGCCCTCCTCGCAGGTAAAGATCGGGCAGCAGCCAGGGAAGGGAGCGGTCTTATTGGTCTTTTCTAAAATTGAAAACATTGGAAATAAGTAACTGTAAATACATAGAGGTTAATTAAAGCTAGATTGCTTGTCCTGAGGCCTAGATGTGATTTTGTTGAAGTCGTCGTGGCCTAGAAGTTAAGACGGTGCGTCATAACGAGCGAGGGTGCCCGTGTTCGAATCCCGCAGGCAGCTATCATTTTTGTTGTTGTTAAAAAATACGAATTTAACAAATGTTCACGACTGGCTTCCACGACGAAGAGCATCATTAAAATGAATAGTAATTTTACAGAAAATTTAGACATTTACCTCAAAATTGAGATGGGTGGTGTCATTTGCGTTTTAATACTTATTATTATGAAGATTGAAAAGTAAAGGATTCTCACCGGTATCTAATTGGCACTTGGGGTTGGTGAGTGGCAGAGGTCCGCAGTCTTCGACAAGCTCCAGCAGCCTGGGAGGCTGGTCCTCGCTGACGACGCAGGTGCTGCGGCCGCAGAACGGAGACAGCTCCCAGGTGTTGCCGGGCTCGACGGTGATGCAGCGGGTGGACGCGAAGCACATTCCGGGGAAATCTGGGGAGGAGATAAGAAACCATTAATGATCTAAGTTTCATGCGGATCTGATCGGTTTTTTTCCTACCTATGCTTGATAGCCTTGAGAGGCTGTTTCAGCTTCACCCTAACGTGTAGGTGAGCTCACGGGGCTCAAACCTGACGACGATTAACCTAACCTAACCTAACACGAACCCTGGCAAGAGCAGTGACACTCTGTTGCGACCGCCCTGAGAGAAGCCGAAAACCGAAGCAAATGTAAGCTTATGGTACAAAGAGCCACGAAGGGCTTTCAGGGACACGACCTTCAGCAATGAAGTATGCGACTAAGAAGAAGATTTAAAGGTATATAACTATGCATATCAATCTCCAATTCCCATAGCATAAGGAAGCCTAATTTTGGCTCCTTGTTGCATGTGAATGTCACACAAATTTACGAGTTACGAAGTATAGCTCTTGGAGTATCGGTAAATTCACTTTCGAATTTCGCACGAAACTTCCTCGTGCGTGTCTTAGAAATTGTTCAATTACGTTACGTGATTATTTAAACGACAGTGTACTCCAAGAATTGGAATAAGCGCTAACGTATGCGACGTTAAGAACATTCAAATATAAATATATATTTTTAATACAAGACCACGTCTCCTTATATCTTCTTCTTTTTCTCCACCTTATCCCACTAGGCGGGGTAGGCACAGATAATTTTTCTCTTCCATTCTCTTCTATCAGCCGTCATCTTAACACTCACTCTTTTCTCTCTCATTTCGTCATTAACACACTCCATCCATGTCTTCTTCGGCCGACCTCTTCCCCCTCTACCTTGCACTACCATTTCCATACATCTCCTAGTCACATGCATCTTCTCTCTACGCATCACATGTCCATACCGTGATAACCGTCCGCTAAACCTCTCCTTATATGTGTTAGATTAAAATTTGGAAAAGCCATTCCTTTTTTAAGGATGGTATGAATGTTTAAATAAGTAATCTGTGAACCATGAATTGACAGATCTAGTTTTTGGGCGGGAAGTAATTCATAAATATTCCGAATTATATAATTGTTTAATGGTTTAACCGGCACATGTAATAGTCGATCATAGTCGCCAGTGGAACTCAGCAAAGTTCCTTACCTCTACCCTCCACAGTTACAACAAGGACTAGATTGTTTTTTTTTCAAAGAGATAATCTGTGACCCATGAAATGACAGATCTATTTTTTGGGCGGGAAGTAATTCATACTATCCGAACTATATCATTGTTGTTTTACCGTCACATGTGATAGTCGATCATAGTAGCTAATGGAATTCAGCAAAGTTCGAACCAAAAATACACAAATATTTACATTACAATTACGTATCATTGTGTATGGCTTTTTTTATTACGAAATCGCGCGTGGGTTCGCATGGTTATGAGCATGTGATTAACTAATCTACTCCAGTTTACCTATTTCAATTGTTTGAGCAACTTCACGATGTAGGTACTGATTGAGATAAACGAGGATCATTTATTCGCATCTGCAATCTGCAATGAAACTCTCTATGTGCCCACGTTATTACTGGGCAATCTATTTCTGGGATAAATTTCGAGTGGCGCTAGGCTATTTTTTTAAGCGACATTTTTACAACTTTACAGCGAAGCCGTGTAAGTTTAAAATTTAGAAAAAATGAAATAACAAAAAACTTCTTCAAATATATAATAAACTAGCGACCCGCCCTCGCTTCGCTTCGGAAACATTAAAACACACATGAAACCAAAAAAATAAAATTAAAAAAAAATTAAAAAAAGTAACCTATGTTCATCAGGGACAATGTCGGCTTCTAATGGAAAAAGAATTTTTCAAATCGGTCCAATAGTTTCGGAGCCTATTCGAAACAAACAAACAAACAAATCTTTCCTCTTTATAATATTAGTATAGATATCGACCGTGTGTTTAAAAATAATCTAATAATTCAAACAAACAAAAAAGTTTTTTGAGGTGATAGGCACATATTGGAGGGTAAATCGCTTCGTTACGTAACGCGTCACGGCGCCAGTCTGTCTGCCGTCCCTTTCTCTCACGCGTACGGTAGCGGTACTGAGGACGTATTTAACTCGTAACTATTCATATATCTTTCTCAATTTATGTTACAATTTTCCTTACATTATCATATTAATATATTAAATAGTTCAACTTAGATTAGTTTAAGTTACCACTTCTGTCGGGCGTTCCGAGACGTGTAAGTATTTTTTTAAATAAAATTTCATTAGGCAAATGCATCATTATTATAACTTGTTCGTAATATAATGTAGAATGCATTAAATAATGACAATAATCACAATAGCGAATTTAGTTCAAGGCTCTTCTGACAAAGGTTGTACACATCCGAAAATAACTAATTACATTGCACAATTTGTTCTGTGAAAAAAATTATAGATTTTTTTTGTTCTTATTTAAGATTAAATTGACGAAAAGTCCAGGTGCTATTAAATGCCCACCGAAACTTATGAGTATCACAATTTGGATGCCATCACCTACCTCGACAACGTTAGGTCGAAATTCGGACACAATACCTTCTAAAACCGATTTTTAAACGACCTTATTACTCCTTTATCGCGAAAGCTCATCGTGAGATTGTCTTAAACATATATTTCAATAAAACAAATTATGACCGCCAGCGAAATTCGAACTCTGGCACAGTCGCCCGATGCGAACACGCCGGCCATCTTAACCTTTAGGCCACGACAATCAAAAGAATTCCTTTAGCAATACGCAAAAGACAATCTTAGCTTGGCACCTAAAGTAATAACCGAAAGACATCCAAAGCATTTTTAACGATCTCGATAGTGTACAAGTTAACTCAACTTTGATTTGCAGTTGGAGCGTTTGCCTAAGTTTACCGCTAAGGGTGCCTTCCAACTGCGTACAAATCTAGAATAGCCTCGACGGGTTATTCTAGATTCACCGCGCTAGTAGGTGAGCTCACGGGGCTCAAACCGGGAGTGTTGCTAACACTGGCCCTAGCAAGAGCCGTGCTTCGACTTCGCAGAATCTACCACCGGATCGGAAACGCGACCACCTGAGAAGATCTGGCGAGAAACTCAGTGGGCTGTGTCTATGGGTTAATTTACTCGTCGAGCTCTTCGTCGCAAGCGACGTGCTCGGCGAGGACGGTGACCGGTGCTTGAGGTACCTAAAAGCACCGTTAATGGATCGGGAGGATCCGTAATAATGTGTTTAGGGCGAAGACATCCACATTCGGCCTTGCTGAAATTCTCAGGTGATATACATATTTTTATTCACTTCACTGCATAAACATAGAGGTCCTAAGTGACCCACATCCAGCGCGATCTCGCAACCTTCGTTGCAATTGAATTAACTAAGCTATATCTAAATCTAGATCTAAATGTCAAGTCTAAGTGAACGGCCCGACATTTTATAGGAGGAATCATGAGTTGCGGTTTAAGTTCTTTGTATTTTGACTTATATTAGTTGGCTGGATTCCACGGGCCTCTTGTTAGGCGTGTCAGTTTGAGAGGTGAAATAGGCACGAGATTGGCAGGATAAATGTAAAGGAGAAAATGGTTCAGGATATTTTTGTCTTTTGCGAAATAAAAAAATATCGACGACCCTAAATCTCGTCGACGATTAATAAACAACAAAAAGACAATCGTTCGACGAACAGACGACAAAATTGCCCTAAAATGTTATTCATATTTTTAAACAGACAGCCAAACCCGACCCCCGCATTACTGGCAAATATTTGATCGCTAGGCCAATAGGGACTTTCCGAATTCACCACTAGCGGTAGGCAGGCTGTACTAACATTACTCTGGATACAGAATCGCAAACTGCTGGGAAGATCCAGCGAGAAACTCAGCGGGCTGACGCCATGGGCTAAGCGTTGTGTTCTCTTCGACGAGTGAGACAAGAACGATAGCTTGTGCTTCAGTTGTGCTAGCACAATAGCACGGTGATTAAAATTTTTTATAGCTTTTGTAGGCAGACGATCATACGGCCTATGGCTACCGTCGCCCATGGACTTCAGCAATGCCAGGGGCAGAGCCAAGCCGCTGCCTGCCGTAAAAGTCCGAGAGGAGTCCATCCAATCCAAGCCAGCGTTTAGGGCGACCATGATGGCAGGCTTCTGCTTGAGAAGTGGCCACGGTAAATAGGTTGTCAGCCGTAAATTCCCTGTATATCTATCTCATATAAATCAGTCTAATCGTTTCGGTGTCTGTAGGGAGCGCACACTCATTATTCGTCGTCATTTACACAAATAGGTTTAGCATGAGGATATTCTAAGTGAAAGTGCGATTGTAGATTGATTACTATCGTTAAGCAATCGCTGACCTTTCGCGAGGATCGGTTACGGGCTTCTGAAAGTAGCATTATTTCCGGGCTGTCATTGACTTAGTTATTACTGGCTTCGTGGTTCAGTAGTAAGCGGGTTCGACTGTTGTGCCAAGGGTCGTGGGTTTGATTCCCGCATCGGGCAATCATTTGTGTGACGAAGAGGTGGCTCTTCCTGTGTTTATTATCTAAGTACTAGCGACCCGCCCTCGCTTCGCTTCAGAAGCTATAATTTATTATTGATTTCTCCACTATTTGATGGATGTTATCATACATATAAACCTTCCTCTTCAATCACTCTATCTATTAAAAGAAACCGCATCAAAATCCGTTGCGTAGTTTTAAATATTTAAGCATACATAGGGACAGATATAGGGACAGAGAAAGCGACTTTGTTGTATACTATGTAGTGATATATATATTTAAACGTATATAAGTATGCATGTCAGTCTCTGGTATACATAGCACAGGGAATCCTAATTTGGGGCTGGATGACCGTGCGTGATTTTATCTCAGTTATTTATTTATTTATTTATTGCGTATGAACGATATATGACATTATAAAAACAAATACAAAACTTTATCACAAAGAAAGTAATACAATGACATTATCATCGACAAACCGACACCTAAATTCTATTGCGATACAATAATCGTCAATGTCAATAACACCCAACAACTTAATTGATTTCG